CATTAGCTAATTGTTATTTACTAGCTAATCTTAAATGACTGTTCAGTACAGAAATGAAGCCCAATAATCATGATTTCACAGTCCTATGGTCTCAGCCTCAGATACTTGTCAAATCAAAGCTAATGTAGAAACAAACAAACAAATGAACAAAAGGTTTTCTCCTTCATTTCTGTCAAATAATGCTGTATGAAACGTTTCCAGCTGTTAGTGTCATGGTTGCTAGGCAACCTGGGCAGCACGACGGAGGCTAGACCGTCCCATTTCACAAGCCTCTCACTTCCGGCCTTAGCGGTCTTTGAGTACGCGGCCCGTGTGGACCGTTAAGGCTGCGTACTTTAAGGCTGCAGACCCTGAATTGGGATACAGCCTACTTCTACAAACGTTTGCAAATGAACTATAGGATGTCACCTGTGTAACAGGTGCGGACGTGACTGCAAATGACAACAACCCAGCCAAATCACAGAGCAGGGTCACCAAATGATCACCATTTGGTCACCATTTGTAGCAACTGACTTCTTTGGAGTCAGTCGCTACAGAACTCTTATTGCTTCAGCATACCAAAACATTTTGGACAATTCCATGCTCCAAACTTTGTGGGAATAGTTTGGGAATGGCCCTTTCCTCTTCCAACATGACTGCACACCAGGTCCGTGAAGACATGGATGAGTGAGTTTGGTGTGCAAGAACTTGATTGGCATGCACAGAGTCCTGACCTCAACCTGATAGAACACACTTGGGATGAATTAGAGTGGCGACTGCGGCAGGCCGTTTAGTCCACCAGTGTCTGATCTTACCAAAGCGCTTCTGGAAGAATGGTCAGAAAGTCCCCAAAACATACTCCTAAACCTTGTGGAAAGCCTTCCCAGAAGAGGCGACGTTGTTATAGCTGCAAAGAGTGGGCCAACATCATTTTGAACCCTGTTGACTAAGAATGGGATGTCACTCAACATCACAAGCATGTGAAGGAAAATAAGCAAATACATTTGGCAGTATAGTGTAGCTGTCCCTGCTTGAGATAAGTTCGTTCAGACTCTGCTTGTTAAAAGACAGTTCTTTCTTCCCACTGTCACCAAGTGCTGTGGCTGACAGTCATACCACCCTGAGCGTGCCCACTCTCAACAGGGTCTGGCTTGATTAGTACTTGGCGGCTGTAGCTCAGGAGTTAGAGCAGGTCATCTACTAATCTGAACGCTGGTGGTTTGATGCTGCTCCAGTCTGCATGCCAGAGTATTCTTGGGCAAAATACTGAACCCTGAGTTGTTCTGCGATGCATCCGTCAGAGTGTGAATGTTAGATAGAAAGCATAAAGTGCTTTGAATGCTCAAGTAGAGTAGGAAAGCGCTCCATAAGAACTCATCCATTTACCATTACGAGACTGTCTGATTATTGGGTGTGTTTTTTTTAGCACTGTAGGCTTTTACCTTACAATATCACCTTCAGGTGACTGTTGATGTAGCAATGTATGAATCAAACTGAAATCAATTAAATTGGCTAACTGTATCTCACTTGCTAATTTTATCAGAACCAAAGTCATCTTTTCAAAATGTTAATTGGCTAGTTTGCTAAATTGCCAGCTAACATGAGTCTAACAATTGCTTTTTCATATAGTGGAAGCCAAATGGGAGCATTTAGCCAACTAGCTGAAGCATGCACATATGCCTGTATATGTACTGGTACTGGACAGTCTTATGTTTGTCTCATTACTCTTTTGGACGATGTTTGCAAGTAAAACAAAACACAAACAACAGATAACAATAAGAATTATATTAACAAAGTTTTTCTGGGGTTACATGGAGCTCGTTTGGAAAGAAAAAACAGTGTATATACAGCAGAAATTTCATTTTCCCTCCAACTTAAAGTACTGCCTTGGGTTGTTTTGTAAATCCAATTTCCTTGTTAGCTGTATAGTTAGGAACGTCTGTTGGTGATGCATCTTTGTTCTCAAAAGAATTTAAGTGTAAGACAAACAAAGTGGGAACAGGCTGTCTCATCAACAAACAAATAAGGATTCCACTGTTTTTCTTCTGCAGGTAACAAGACAGATGGAAGTGCCTCAGCAAGACCCCAAAGACGCCATTATTTCAAGATATAAGCTACACTCTGAGTGACGCTTTCAGAAATGAAGACTTTGCTTTGTTACACTGTTGGAAGTGTTATCAATTTACTCACTTTTGCACTCTGATTTTTTCTCATAGCAAAAGCAAAAGTAATATGGGAAAACATTAAAATATAAAGTTCCATGTGGGCCATTGATAGGGGCGGTCATGGCTCAAGAGTTGGGAGTTTGCCTTGTAATCGGAGGGTTGCCAGTTCGAGCCCCAGCTTCGACAGTCTCGGTCGTTGTGTCCTTGGGCGAGGCGCTTCACCCGTTGCCTACTGGTGGTAGTCAGAGGGCCCGGTGGCGCCAGTGTCCGACTGGATGTGTAAAGCGCTATACCAATACAGGCCATTTTACCATTTACCCGCTCGCTATCCACATTGGGTCAACATGGCCGGATGAGAGGTTTTTGGACAAAGTTTGTGTTTTTTCCATTGTTTAAGCACTGCTTCCAGCCAAGAGTGATACCATATATGCCCTATAGCTGCAGAAAAGGCTAACATTGTTATATTTTTACAAAAAAAAACAGCTAAACATGAGAGGTTTTTGGACAAAGTTTGTGTTCTCCATTCTTTAAGCACCGCACCGTTTCAAAAGTACCGGTTTGGCACCGGTATCGGATAAAACCTAAACAATACCCATCCCTATTCACGCAGGCCATGAGCCTAGTCATGACCAGACTTCCTGGTAACCATCAGTCACAAAGTTCAAATGTGCATTCTACAACTGGGTGTACAATGGTTACTGGAAGTTGTTGGCAGGCGCAAGTTGAA